GGTCGAGCGGCGACCTGACGGGGCACAATGTACGCGAAGGAGTTGGAATCGTCGAACGGCAAGGTCATCAGCGACAAGGTTACGGTGGACAAGTCGGTGGTGGCTAACCTCGCGGAGACGCTCGTACATGTAAGTCCCGGAAGCCTGTTGAGAAATTTTGTTTAGTGTGTTGAACACAAAATAGATGTCATAGTATTTTCAAGTATAAACTACCACGGAGGTTCACGGAGGTTCCGAGGTGCTTCAGCTGAACTGTACCGCCCGCGAACGCACAGGCCGCAAATAGAGGTTCAGCTGAACGTTCACACCACTACTGATCACGGTAAACCAATCAACGAGGACGGGTTACCAATCAACGATCAACGATCAAGGCTGAACGGCAGCGACCGACGATCAAGGCTGAAGAACCGGTAGCTGAAGATGACCGACAGTGGAACAAGGCTGTCGGCCACGACACCAGCCACGATCCACGTTCAAGATGCGCTAATTCTGAACGGACGGCCAACGACCACCTCTCTCCGATGGAGCGATCAAGATGTAGCTATAGACGATCAAGGGAGCCCAGTCGCGATCAACGACCAAGATGGCGGTCGGCGATCAACCTGACGATGAACGACTAAGATGGCGATAGGCGATCGAGACGGTTGATCGGTCGATCGGCGGGAAGATCGGAAGAGCCAACATGGGGATGGGTCTGAATATAGGTATGCGTAAGATTTAGGTTGGGATAGGAGGTAGGTAGACACATGGTCAACATCAATCAGAAGCCGTTTTGCTTAGAAGCGCACAAGTCTTCATCGTTCGCCAGGAAAGAGAAGAATTTTTTGGCCCCCTCGAGTTCGAACAAGGCTTAAGTAGTGGGGACTAGCGTCATAGAGTAAGATCTGGACAATGTATTGACAAGATCTGCTACACTAGTGTTATTTGTTTATTGCATTGTGTTCAAGTGTACCCCCCGTTAGTCGGCGTCTTGGCGAAGTGTGTGGACGGCGATCGGCCTCAACCAGTTGTTGGCTGATTCCCGACACCACATTAGCCTGCCAAGTCCAGTAAATGCTTCCAATTTTTTTTGAAAATAATAGCAAGGCAGAATCTCCTTACCGGCCGGCCCCTCGAGTGTTTGATATTTGAAGCAGTGCTTGTTTTTATGTCCGCTAAACTGAGCTTGCTGACCACGCGTTGGTCAACAGTAGCTAC